CTTTTCAAGATTCGGTTTCCCAAGCTCATGCCCTGGCTAAGGCAAGGGCATATTTACTAATCTGGTCGGCCATGTTTTCAAGCGCAAGCGCCAATCAATCTGTGCCTCAGCCAGCCCACGAGTTAGGCCCATTCGACTTCGCAAGCTCGCGCCCTGGCTAAGGCAAAGGCAGATTTACTAATCTGGTCCGCCATGTTTTCAAGTGCAAGCGCCGATCAATCTGTGCCTCAGCTAGACCACGAGTTAGGCCCATTCGGCTTCGCAAGCTCGCGCCCTGGCTAAGGCGATGGCAGATTTACTAATCTGGTTAGCCAACTACCTAAGCTAAGCAGCCGATCTAACCATAACCGAAAGCAATATCATTCATCAATAACATTTTCCTTAGCAGGTTGAGCACAACTCATGAAATTTTATATACGCAAATTACTAAACAAAAAGCTACAAGCCCGCATGAAAATGCCTAGCAAAAAATTAACTGTAGCAACACATGAAAAATACCAAATTAAAAACTGTAAAAATACATTCGACATCCTAAAAACTATGTTAGTCGCCCAGATCAGTCATCGGAATCAGACTCCAATGGCTCAACATCCACTTGCTCATATGGTATTGGCATAATCAATGAAACTTTAGCAGCAGCAAGGGCTTTGTGTCAGCCATGTTTGAATTCCCGATTTTCAAACTTGGGGACTTGGTCCAAATACTTGGCGAGTCCAGCATTTTTCCCGGTCTCGAATACTTTGAAAGCCTCCGAGTCGGCTGTTTCCTTCGCCGCCTTCATTTCAGCCAACTTAGCCTCCAGTTTGGAGACCGTCTTCTGGGCCAATTTGAGCGCATCTTCGCTCGCGTCCGCCTCCTTCTCGGCATCCGATCTCAATTGATCCGCGCTACGAGCCCTCTCCACCTCAGCCTCGGCCCTTAAGGCTTTCTTGTTCGCCCTCAAAGCTTCGACCTCGGCCCTTCTCCTCTGGCCCTCAACTTTCTTTCGTAAATGACCAATCTGTTTAATGAAGTCGCGATGGCAATGGCCCATATCGGCTATCCTTCCAACGGTCTGCAAAACAAGAATTTAAAACCATAACTTCAACAGTATTTGGATTAAGTGAAGCAAAGTCCGAATATGTACCAAAAGTGCCGATTGGGCAGCTAGTGCTGTCGCATTTAGATCTGGTTCCACCTGGAAAGCCTCCCTGTCAGACGACAACGACACGGACGTAGCCAAGCCGAATGCGACTTTTGGATCTTTAAGCGCTGAAGCATCAAAAGAAACCGGCATGTTTTTTTATCATCGGCTGAATGACAAAAGGAACGATCACATTCGATCCCTCTAATCGAGGACGTTTGCCGCTTTGTTTTTCTAAGCCAGCCTCAAACTCGGCAGGGCGTTTCTCTGCCTCTTCCTTAACTTCTTGGCCGGCCTGCACGATCAAAGTAGATTCGGTATTTCGATTTTTTGCCGTCTCCACCTCAATAACGCACAAGGACTCTGATTCGCTAACAGGCAGGGAGAGTTGAGATTCGATGGTGGGTGGTACTTCAGACGGAAGGGCCTCCGCTCTTCGCCGCGCGACCAACCTTTCTGTATTCGCCTTCTTGGCAAGTTTTGTCAGGCTTAACCCGGCCATGTCTTCGGGGCCTGCGGCGGGAAGATCCTCTAAGCCGTGAAAAACGCCGTCAAGTGAAAGATTCCCTCGGCCCGAAGTGGATGGAGGATCGGCCGAATTCAATACCTCGTCAGACTCGGTTTCGTACTGATCTGATTCGGTAACATTAGCTCCATCCTGCTCCGAATCAGACCCTTCAAAACCAACCTGCCTCAAGTTTTTGAAGTCGGACAAAATAAGAGCGATAAGAGAATCTTCACCCTCCGGAACCTGGATATTTTCCGCCGCCGAGAAGATCGTATATGTCGGCTCATAACGAAGCAGAACGTGGGCCGCCCTCCCTTGTTTCTGAAGACTTCGACGGCTGAAATACTTGAGCGCGACTTTGATATCCGAAAGAACGGCGTCGTCAGTCGAAGATAGGACTTTCTTCAAATCGTTCCCTGCACAAACCAAGCCATAACATTTCAAAGAAGAGGCTTTATAACAAAAATAAACAAATAATAAAAGCGAGAAGGCAATCGGCCACCTGGCTCGCCCCTCCATCTAGGAATAGGGTTAACGTGATCCTCCCCTTTGCCAAATTCCCAGTTACCCTGGACAATGACCATAACATCATCAACTCGTTTCCCAGAACTAGAAAGCATAGTAATTAGCTGATGGTCGATATCGTTGGCCCTAAGGAAGAAACGCCTGTGCCGACCAGAAGACTTAGCCAAGGCATAGCAATGCCGGATGGCTGGAATGCCAAGGTTAATTCTAAGGCGACGGTTGAGCGCTATAACCCCCATTATAATTCTAAAGAAATTCACATTGAATTGAGAAGGGATTAAACCCCAATGGCGAAGCACAGCCCTAAGAAATGGGTGAAGGGGAAAACGGACTCCACTTTCTGCGATTGACAAAAAAGGAAAGACAATCGTGGTTTTGTCCTCCTTCTCCATATCAAGAGTGCCGTCTGCCACAAACGACAAATGGACATCATCAGGAATGGAGAAATGGCGTTTAAAGCCAGCAATTCGATCTGACGAGAGAAGGTCTTTTAAATGTTTCGCTATACCCTACAGTTTATAAGAATATGCCAAGGAAGGAATAAACCAAAAAGAGTCTTCGAAGCAATGAAGGAGAGAACTTACAAAGGACGAAGAGAATATCGGAGAAGAGAGTTGCAGGGACGATTCAAAAGGCAATCCAGCGACGAGTGTCATAAAATACATACTTGAAAGGGCATCAAAATTTTAAATCGCAATAAATAGACACGTACAAGGGGGCGGGAAGCCGACACGACAACCGAAAGGGGTGCGCTTAGATATCCGCATGAGGATGAGGCCAACCACCGAATTTTGGCTCTGATTTTTCGAAATTCGGAACCAAGCACTCCAGCCAACTATCATTGGTAAAGTGCTTGGGGGGCAATTGTGGGAGCCGAATAAATAGAAGAGTCGGAAGGTGCGTACCCCAGAAATCAGATATTATTCGGCTCCATATTGCGTGACTAGGATGCCGAATACGTTAGGAAGGCCGAATAGCCGGAGATCAGTAGCTCCGAATAAATAAAAGGGGAATGGGATAAAAGTAAGCTTAGGCCCCGAGGCCCAAAAAGCAAGTATAAATACAAGCACCACATATTTAGAAAGGTATGGAAGAATCACTTCACTTAACTTAGTAAACAAGCTATCCTGAGTGTCTGAACTGACTTGTCCGTCGGAGTGCTAATTCCGGCACCCCCGACCGGAGTGTTTGTATCTTTTCAGGTGACTAGCTGAGGATCACTAGCGTCTCCCAGGATCTGAAGAGTATTGTAAACCACTTCTCCACAGTTGGCAATAAAGATCGGCCAGAAGGTTCCATTGCACAGACTTATATTTCCAAAGAGTGTACGACGTTTTGTTTAATATATTTAGTCACCAAAAGTGCTTGTTATTGTAAAATTGCTTTCTATACATATACGCATTGTATATGATTATGAAGTTGTTTTTGAGAGAGAAAGCGGTATGCAGCGCATTGATGAATTGGTTTAGAATACAGAAAAAGAAAGTGGGGATTAAGGAGAGAGAATTGTCAATGAGGGAGGGAGAGAGAGAGAGAGAGAGAGAGAGAGAGGGGGATGAGGGTTTGGGAAATAAATACATCGTCATTTCATCTACACGTCGTTATGGGTAAAGTATTTTAGTAGGTGTTTGGCCTGCACTAAAAAAGTATACTTTTTTAGTATACATACATTTATTTGGGTCACATCAATTAATATCTCCGCTCTACTTTTTTACCCACTTTCTCTACTTGTTTACATATTTTTTTTTTATAAAAAATCAAAAAGTGCACTTATTTAGAACATCTCAAACCACCCTTTAGTGTGTGAATTTTTGGCCAAATAAAATTTATATTTAAATTTATGAACCAAGTACCCCAATTTTTAATTGTTTGTCAAACTGTACATAGCACAGTGTAATACTAGTAAGATAAAAAGACAATAAATATGCTAAATAAGTATGTTCCCAAACAATCTCGTAACAGAGAGAAAAATGATTTTAATTTTTTTTAAAAAAAATTTAACTAAACAAAATTTTAAATTTTTTTCTCAAAATATCTCTTAAGAGACAAATCAAACAAGGTTTTAAATTTTTAGATTTGGTTCGACCAGATTAAGCAAAAAATTAAGACTGTGTTTGGTGTGGAGTTTTAATCATGACTCCACACTCATATTTAAGTATAGTGTTTGGTTACAACTTTCAAAAATTAATTCCATACCACGTGTGAAATCTCGTTTCAGGCAGAATTTGAATTTTGAAATTTGGCCTACCCGGTCGTCCTCCTGGACGTTTGGCCTACCCGGCGAGTCACTCATTTCAGGCGGAATTTGAATTTGAAATTGGCATCTGTTATTTTTATGAGCTTTAAATAGAATTTTGGGTTGTGTGTTTGGTTATGAGTTGTATGTTTTTAAATCAAATATCATATGTTACATCAATTATTCCAAACTCTTTTCAAAACTCATAACTAAATAAATTTTCCACACTCAAATCATAATTTCAAAATTCACAAATTCAAAATACAACTCTATTCTCAAATCATAATTTTAAAACTCTACCAAACGCAACCTAAAATTTTAATAAAAAGTTTAGAAAAGACAAAAATTTCATGATTTTTTTTTTATAGTTATTTTCACTTTTTCAAAAATTTTAATTATTTTTTAAATTCATCAACAAATTGAAAATTTAAAAATTTTAATTTTTTTTAAAAAAATCACTGCAAAATAAAAAAATTTGTTTGATTTGTTACGTAACATTGTTGAAGTTATTTTTTAGGTGTTCGTAACCACCCAAGGAGTGACCCGGCCGGTATATGTTAGCACTGAACCGGTTCGACCTTCGAATTCCGGACCACCATCAGTCGATAAGAATCACACCACAAAACATATCCTCCTCCTTCACCTGCACAGTAAGAACCTCTCTCTCTCTCTCTCATGGCGTTGATTAGCCATCTCTGCTTCTCTCGTCCCCATCACCTCTCTTCTCTCTCTTCAACTCAAACCAGTCTCTCTCTCCCTCACTACCTTCCCCAATTCTCACAGCATCATCCCACTCTTGAAAACCAGACATCCCTCAAAATTAGAGCTACTGGGGGCGACATGTTGGGTGATTTTGGGGCCAGAGACCCATTTCCAGCAGAGGTAGAAAGTGGGTTTGCAGATAAAGTGTTGGGTAATTTTAACACTGAGCATCGAATTCTTATTCCCAATCTCTCTTCTCTCTCTCTTTCTCAGCAAGATTGCACTCCTGTCTCTCCTCTTCACCCTCCCATCTCTCGTGATGATGCTCAAAAGCTCTTAAAGAAGGTGAATTTACACATCCTTGTCCTGCTTTTTCTCTTTATGAATTTACTATTTGTATTATGTATAAGCAATTTTGGTTGTTTAAATTTGTTTTACCCATAAACTTAGTTCTGGGTTTGATTCTAAAGGTGAAGGTTTTGGTTTTCTGATTTAGAATTTCTCTTAATTCTTGAGCTTTGCAAGTAGCAAAATTGGGGTTTTTTTTATTATTTTATTTTAATTTTTTAATTTACCTTTTCTGTTTCCTCTGTTTGGGAATCCAGGAGAGACAGTAAAAGAAGTGATTTGATGAGTTAAGAGAGAAAAGAAAAGAAGGGAAAATATTGATTAAATTGGAAAGAAAAGAAAAAGAAAAATCAAACTTGAGGAGGTCTAAACTAGTGTTTACTAGTGTTTAAAGAAGAAAAATAAATTAGAAAAAAAAAAAAAAAAAATCCCTCTTCAAACTAATGAAGTTGCTCCTGCAAGTAGTGATTTCAAATTCTAATGTACAAGTATTAAGATTCCCTCTTAATATTTTACCATATTAGCTCAACTGTGATTTAGAGTTCTCATGTAGATTTAAGTTGAGAAGTTGTTATTTGTTTATTTACTTTATTTTATTTTTAAAGGAAATGAAAAACTGAACTTATGATTCTGTAGGTTGTTGGCTGGAGATTGTTGGATGAAGAAGGGGGACTTAGATTACAATGTTTGTGGAAGCTAAGAGATTTTAAATGTGGGGTTGACCTCATCAATAGAATATACAGGGTTGTTGAAGTTACGGGTCACTTCCCAAATCTTCACTTGGAACTGCCCAATCAAGTGAGAGCTGAACTATGGACCGCTTCCATTGGTGAGTGAGTGAGGTTTACCGAAAAGTAGTCAATTGTTTTTGATCGTTTAACTTTCTTAATGGACCTAACTCTATATTATCTGAAGTTACTTTTGAGAACAAATGTGATTGAACATTTCATCTCTAAATACGTCGAGATTTTGGACTCATATATGCTCAAGGTGCTCCCAAGTCACCAATCAATCCTATCCCCACCTCAGGAAGAAAATGAAAAAACAAAAACTAGAATAGATCTGTGCGGATTCCTCGTGGAAGATTAGATGTGTTCATTGGGTCTAGTCAAGGCTCCTATCCAAGTTTCAATTTGGCAATGGGAATGAAACGGATAAATTTTCCCATTGTATATTTTTTATAATTGAAAAATATTGGTAGCTCATATTTACTGAACCATTCAGAATGTCCAAAATGTTTGCTTCTGAGTCTTCTGATGCAATCATTGCTGAATTCTGTGGTAGAATTTTCAACTCAGACTGTCAGTGATAAGATTTCTTCGAGTTATGTTGAGTCTTGTGAGATTTCAAGTAATCTACTTGCCTCCTCTACGACACAGGCATTGTGCATTGAATGTGTTAGATATGCTTTTCATTTTACATTCTCATGTTACAAAATAGCCCTATTTCTCATTTTCCGACAGTTCGAAAAGCTAACTGGTAATGTGCATTGAAGTTGGACATAGCAGTCCATGCTAAGAACTGATATGTTGAGTTGTTTTACCTTTCTATACCATATAAACTGCACAGAATGTTCATTATTCCAAATACTTGTCCAATTTTTTTATTATTATTATTTTTTTTTGGATACATTTCTTTCTGGCTTCCTTTACTTCTCTTCTTCGTAAACTTGTGTATAACATATTTGCTTCCATTTGTCTTTGTTTTTATATACACTTGAGTCCAAATTCCTTCTTTGCCTTCATAACCCAAAAAAATGTTTTATGTAATTTGCAGGAGGATTGAGTATGAATGATTTCATTGTAGCTGCCAAAATAGATGAAATAAAGACATCAGATCTTGTCCCCAAGAAGAGAATTTGGGCTTAGCTTGCTTTCTTGACAAATCCCAAAGATCTGTGTGCTCATGGGTTCCTTGCTTACTCTTCCTTCATCATTGCAATTCATTTATCATTTGTTTTTTTTTTCTGCTTAAAAAAAAACTGTACTAGTAAATAAGGATTGGAGCAGAAAAGGAAAGAAGCCTGGTTCTTCTTTGTATTAAAGGGGTGTAACTCTGTATGAGGCTTGGACTTCTTGTCCTGGAAAAAGAATCTGGGCATAATTGGAGAGAGGTCTGTTCATGAATTTCAGCAAGAAACAACTGAAATTGCAAAAATGAATAGAAACTCTATTTTTCTTTATTATTTCTCTGCAATCCTTCGTAAGTTGTATTATTTCTCTGCAATCCTTCGTAAGTTGTATTATTTCTCTGCAATCCTTCGTAAGTTGTATTATTTCTCTGCAATCCTTCGTAAGTTGTATTATTTCTCTGCAATCCTTCGTAAGTTGTATTATTTCTCTGCAATCCTTCGTAAGTTGTATTATTTCTCTGCAATCCTTCGTAAGTTGTATTATTTCTCTGCAATCCTTCGTAAGTTGTATATGTGAATCATTCATTATTACTTATCCAACAAAAAAGAAAAAGAAAAGAAGAAGAAGAAGAAAGTGTGTTTGGTTTTGACCAAACTGATTACTGTAGTTTTGGTCCCTACAAAAGAAATGAAGTCAGCTATATTTATTGAACTCATGCTAGAGAATGCCCTCTAGAGGTGTTGAAATTTTGAATCACCAAACCTCCCTGAAAAATATTTCTGAAACTTGCTTTACTTGTTTCATTTGTTTTGGCAAAAAATAATTTTCCAGAGAGATTGTTTTCTTATGTTTGGTTGCGTACTTAAAACTAATGTACTGATAGTTATATTAGTGGTGGTGGTGGAGATGGCGGCATAGAGGAGGGGCGGTAGTAGCGGTGGGATGGTGGTGATGGTGGCTATGAAGGGTAAGTTAATAATTTTGTTTTGTTTCCAAAAGAAAAAAAAAGAAAAGAAAGGATTACTATTAGTACCTGCCTAATATCTTTGAATCTCCTATTTCTTTGAACTCTCACTCTAAATCTTAAATTTTAATAAGATTTCTTTGAATACTCTACTTAATACCAAATTTATCAATATTCATAATATTATCATATCCAAGTGTACATCCATCTAATTTTGCACACCTTCTCTTTTTCCTGTTGATGACTGTCCATCTCTTGTTGAAGAGAAGAGAACATTGATGGTCTCTTAATGTTGAAGAACACCATTACATTGTATCAAAACGCATCGTAAAGGAGGAAAAACCCTCATTGCGGCTGCAAATTGACTTGATAGTGTGAGGGAAAAACTCTCATTGTGATGGAAATTCAGTCCACTATTGCCACCACAAATTAGAATGTCCTCACAGGTAAATACCGACTTCTCATCACATTTTTATTTTTTGATTTATTTCGACATAAAAAGAGATTTTAAAGGAAAAAACTCTCACAAAAAATACCTTTTGTTGTTGACTATACAAAATCGAAGACATACCAGTGACAAACAAAACTGATGAAATATGGCATCCAGTGTTTGAATGATTTCATTTATTTAATTATGACATTTATGATTTTTTGTTATGATATATTGTGGTGTTAATTATGACTCATTATGATATTAATTATGACCTATTATGATTATTATTTTGATTATAATCTAAAAAGTTTTTAATTATATGATATTTAATTATAATTTATTATTTTACTTTTAATTATAATTAAAAATAATTTAATTAAAAGGGCCAAATCTTGATGGAGATG